GTATGGAAGACTACATTTTTTTTGGAAGCCGTTTCATCGGGTGGGCTGGATACGCTTTTTTTGGTGTACTCTATGGGACCTGCTTCAAATCGTTGTTTTTTTTATGGCACCACGTGTGCTATACCAATAATGAAGCCTAAAATCCAAGCGATGATCACGCACGTCTTTGAGACAGTGACTGAAGGAGCCTTGAGCGGGAAGAAAATGGCCAAGAATTTTTTTATCGCGATAAATGTCATGTTGAGGATGGTAATGCAGGCGAGTGACATTAAAGCGATTCTGTGTAGCTTGCACTTTTTTTTAGTCTTGATGGATTCATCGACCAGCCAGACCACTTTTTTTGGAGTGTGGATTACACTAGAAAGAAGGTCTGAATTTTTTTGGCTCTTGATGAAATACATGGTCAACGAGCGCTTTTTTTTTCTCTTAGGCTTGCGTTTCTTCATCKGATTTCGTTTTTTTTCAAGATAGAGTACTAAGCTATTTCCAGCTATGCCAACCAAGCCTATGGCCACGATTATAAACGCTACAATAGTTTTTTTTGGAGGTACAAGCTTAGGAAAGAAGTAAACCTTTTTTTTTATGACTGTGCCATTCTCAAGGGTCTCATTTCCTTTTTTTTTCATCCTGAAAACAAAASCAGAATTTTACAATCTTTTTTTCTTAATTTAGGGACCTCATCCGCTGGTATCCCGACTGGGATTCCTTTGTTGTTAGGACAACACTTCTCACAGCTTTTTTTCATCTTTTGCGCTTCCCCTACAGGAAGCCCCATTTTTTTTAGGTTGCCAGAAAAAAAACAGGATATACGTAGATTTTTTTAAAGGACTCAACAAGCTATTCTTCGAGTAATTTTTTTTTTTTCTTTAGTGAAATACGGCTTTCGCAATCATTTATAGTTTCCATGGTGATATCGATCAAACGCTGGGTTCATGTTTTTTTATATATGTTTTGTACGTCATCAATCCGGTTCATTTTTTTTCGTCAACATAAAGCTTTGCTATGTTTAATAATATTTTTTTTGAAATCACTAGTAAAATAAAATGCACGGAGAATTTTTTTTGATTCTGAAGATATTACGTATAATTCCAGTATTTTTTTTAGAGCTTTTTTAAACTCATTATTTTCTTTCACTGTATCTTGAATCGATAATACGGACATTCTTGTATATTAGATTTTTTTAATTAGAATTAATTGTTCGATCATATTGGTTATTTTTTTTTTGATAAGAAAACGTGCTCTCTCTCTGATCTTTTTTTTTTAAAAATGTCTTTAAAAGTCTTATAACTTCCTTCTTTTTTTCTTTATTTGGTCGAACCTCTATCTAATGCAACGTTTTTTTTGTGCCCTATTCTGCTGGTTCACTAGAAAAAAATTTTTTTAATTCAAATTCTTTCAACTTTGATTTTCTACAATTTTTTTCACTCA